CATGGCGTGATCTTGTGAGTCGTTTAAGTTATAAAATATTCACTTATTATATACAATATACATATTATTACCATTTTACTTTAATACATTTTTCCTTATGATATACATATTACGAGATAAAAATTGAAAAGTGGGTTTGAGACTTTTTTTAGCGACAGTTTAACCCGATTAAGAAAAAAAATAATGTTTTGGTATGCAAATTTAAAATTACTCCATCTGATTTATTATTATATAACAAAAATTATTATAGTTTACTTTCTCGATACAGCTAATTTACATGGACCTATAACTACCTATGCAACGTTAAACTCTACGTTGTAAAAACAATCATGTAAATAAAAATAATCATTCATTGCACGCAAATTTATAACGTATACAATAATATTATGTATTTGTTTTTAAATTGTGAATAGTACATTGTATTTAAAAATTGTTAATTAATGTTGCATGTCGTGAAAATATATATTGAAAATMATAAAAAAATATGAATCATGCAGGTGATAATTTGTTGTTATTAATGAAACACGGGCGTCAATGAAAACTCTATATTATAATATCWTATAATATTATATTGTACACTATAGGTTTAGGTGAGGGGGTCTATAAAACACAAAAACAAATCGATATTGTAATAATATTATTATACTCACGTGTATGAACAGCAGAGCTCCGTACAACACGATGTACACTTGGTGCCTCAGGCATCTCTTCATAGTGAACCCGACGGAACGATCTGTAAACAATATTAAATCGAATGTCATAAAAAAAAATAATAAATAAAACAACTATGCAATCATAACACAGAACATCAAATACACAGTAGCTAGAAATTTCACCCCCGCCCACTCCTCCCACGGGTGACAAAATGTATATTATTAAATTTTTATCTCAATTTTAAATTTCGCTAAACATTATGGGGTGTTATGTTTGTTAGCTAAGTCTTTGTCAAATATAATACATCCAAACAGCGCTGTATCTCAATCAGCCGGCCATATACATAATTTAATATGAAATAATTATAAATACAATATTACGATTTTACAATAATATTCGGAGACCGGATCTCAAACGTTTTTGGGGTGAAGGTCGTCTGCGCGCGGCATCCGGAACGATCGGAATCGGACGCGCCGGAGGCGGGGCAAAACGGCGTGTTTGGAAAACGTAAAATATATAATATGTATCTGGAACACGCGGGCCGCTAGAGGCGCTCGAGTCGACCGGGCCCGGGAAAGTAAGGCGCTTTCACTGTCTTCGGGACGTGGGTGGGCGGGCTGGTGGATGGGTGGATCTATGTATATATACGTCCTGCCTGCCTATAATATTATACTTCTTGTTGTATATATGTTTATGTGTGTGTGTGTGTGTATATCGTATAGATGTGCGTCCGTTGCAATTGCACTTTCAAATATTTTATGTCTTTGGAACGCCAATTAGAGAGAGAAAGAGAGAGAGAGAGAGAGAGACCGCGGTTCACGTGTATATAATTAAATGTATTATTACAAATGTGCGTTCGAGCCGCGTCCTCCCTTATAATAGTATTATAGTCGCGTCATTATGGTGGAGATCTTTTCACAAATGATTGTTATCGTTTCCTTCGGTGTTATATTTCCCATCAGTGATGGCGTTTATCGTGTATAGTACTGTACACACTGATATCATCATCGCATCAGCTTATCACTGACATACCCATCACTAAAACTCTCCCCTCTCCCGGAAAGAAGCGAATGATATTGAGCACTGATCAAGAAAAAAGAAAAAAACCGTAAGCTACTAATCTAGCGTATAGTTAAAAAGGCAGTAGACATTTGACAGCGATATGTTTCGAGGCGGTTTCGAACTGTTACCAATAATATGAGAATGGCTAGAACGGCGATATCCCCAGGATGTGGTTGAGCAACCTCCATGTTTAAATTGGACCCATGAATAATGGATCACAAAATAAACGTATTGACGATGTGGCCGTGTGGATAGGGCACACCGAAAAACAAAATACAGAAAGATATTTAATATTATATGAATATCTTCCGAGTAACATGATAATAATATTATAATATTATGTATGGGAAAAAACAATTTTTTTGCTATCCGTTAAATTTGTTAATGGACTCGCGCATACAAAAAATCGTGACCGAAACGAGCGGCGCCCGAGGTTCTCATCCCGACTATTCTCCCTCCCCATCCCGAGACTATTATCTCCCGACCGTCATTAGGCATATTCGAACGATTGTTGTCAATTGGGTGGGTCAACGATGATAATAATAACATAACAATATAGGTATAATTATATTAAAGTAATAATAATTGGTCGGCGCGAACGGCGAGTGTACATCACAGAAAATATTCGTCACCACACACTTGCCACATCTTTAATATTATTATTATTATTATAGTCTTGCGTGTAGGTAAAATTAATACTTAATATTAAAAAATAAAACAGAAACAATGGCCCGTGGGAGAAAATATACACATGTTGAAAATAGAAAGAAACACCGATCCGAAGGTTTCGATTAGAACCGGTTTAAATCAGATATATATGTATATACCTTATACCTATATGATGAGTGTGTAAATATATGTATCGAATTACTTTCAATGTTCGTGTAAAAAGGACCTGTTCTCCAAGATCAAGATCAATGAACCGCGTGCACGCCTATGAATATGGGTCAGTAGGATGTAAATATTTATTCTGCCGCACCCCTAGCAAGGTCAAAACCGTTTCGTYGATCCCTCACACGACGCGCGACGGTGCAGTCAATACTACATAGATAATAATATATTATTGCTAAAATGCTATTGAATTGTGGCGAGTACATTATAATGGAACACAGTTACTCGCGAACAAAATTAAATAACACGTGATTTACAAAAGAGCGTATACAACAACAAAATAATATTTTCGTAGATATGTCGCACCCACATAGTGAAATCATTCATCTCATGAACTGGATATCTAGATAGCTAAATTTGTCTAGATCGTGAATTTTGACGAAAATACATTATATGGACATTTCATTTCGGCCATTTCATGAAATGGACTATACGTATATATTGTGTACTTTGTGCAGTAATTATTATGCAMCAAGATTGTTTTGTTATTTTCCGATAACTAATTATATCATAATGTTATAACTTATTACTAATCTAAAACTATACTTTTTATATTGTTGTATGAACAAAAATATTAACAAATTAATTAATTGATTAACTTAAATAGTAATTAATGAACTATAGGTATTCTAATACATTTTATTCCTACTTATTTATTTTTACATGGAAATTGATTATGACATCGACTGTTACATATCATATTATTTTTAAAACAAGCACACCTACTTGATTGGTAAGGAGTTTTTACCTTACATGAACAAGAAAAAATCCTTGATCTCCTGAAATATTTTTAGTAATTTCTTACACTGAAAATTCAATATTTTTATCAACTTGATCAGTAGTCAGAAAGTGAGAAGATTTTTTCAAAAATTCACTACTGAACCATCCTTTAAGTAAATCATATTTTGTTCCAAATGTATGCAATCATTTTTTTWAAATTATTATTTAAGTCAYCTAATAAAATATTTTGTTCATATTTTTGTTTATAGACCAATATAGAAAAGTATAGTTTTAGTTAATTAATAAATTATAATTTATAACATTTTACATTATGATATAATATAATTAGGGTTTTCTTCTTTATGGTGGAAAAATAATAGCTTAAACAACATTTTATCCAATGAGATTTGATAAACAGCTACGTCAGAAAATACAAGCCAATATATTATACGATTCAACTCGTGGTTTGTTTGCACTATAGGCACCTATATAATAATTATTTAGGTGACAATGTAACACTGTTAAATTAAACAAGACGATGGAATATTTATTTTTAAGTTGCAGTTGTTCGTGAACTATCGTTTATGTTATCATAGTAAATCTAGAGGTTATAATATTATAATGATGAATGATATATATTATAATTGATATAGCCTCACATTCTCACGAGGCACGATGACAATACATGTTTTTATTATGTTGAGAAAACGGGGTTCTTTTTGTTATTGGACATAATATATTTAATTGGGTGTAATACAATATATAGATATAAGACATTATAAGTTATATGTAAGTAGTGATGTTATGGGTAGACATCGCTGCAAATCAACGTGATATTAATAATTCAAACGATTTGGACGCCTAATCAGATATCATGTCACTACAAAACGTCGTTAAAATAGAAAATGGGAACTGAAAATAAATATTTCTTTGCATTTGGGCGGATAGTGGATACATGGTGTTCTTATAAGCATTATTAAATTTATTGATGGCCAACGAACACATACYGCGCGTGTATAAAATATACAATACCTAACCTAATCAATAATCATATTATAATGTCTGCTACAATATTATAATTTTTTAGTATCTCGTATGTATAGTATATGATATTTATTATAATAATATGTATAGGCACCCCGGGTGTAACTGACGGCCACCCGGCAGGTCGACCAATGACCACCCGGCTATCGACCGGCGAATATTTCATGCCCAACGTACGTATTACTATACTTTAGTCGTATATAATGTGTAAGTGTACCTATATAATATAGAGGCTTCAGCCCAAACGGACGGCGCTTTCACGGACTCGATACAACGCGCATTCGGTGATGTGAACATTGGTTTCGGCAAAACGGAAACGGATGAGATTAACACACACACACACACACACACACACTGATTATTACCGACGTGTCTACGTATGTTTGAATGTATGTGTGTATGTGTGGTTGCATGTAGTGAGCGCGTGTGTGTCTGTGTGTGTGTGTGTGTGTGCGCGCGCGCGCGTACGAAGAGATGCGCGTCCGTGTTTACTTTCTAATTCTTAACCGTACGGACGTGACTGGACGGACGGGAGATTAAACTCGGCTCGTTAATTTTCAATTACATGCACGCCATTAAATTTGGCGCGAGTAATTCGGGGCGGCGACGGAGACTTTAATACGACGACGTTATATCCCGCAAATGAATACTCAACGCTGAGGGTGAAGCACGGTTCCGGTGCTCCGTACCAATACAATACCAATATTTTTGCAATTGCGATGTACATCCCGCCGTATAGGCCCGAAAGTATCGAAGTGGATTAGGATATGATCAAGCATAGTATTAGGTATACAAGGCGCAAGGTGTTCAAACAATTTGCAGGAAACGCTTTAATTACTGTTTGCATATTTTCATCCAAATATCCAATGTCTAATGAATAACACTGCTGCAGATTTATTAGATAAAATATTTAATCATCTCATTAATTACATCACATCAGTTCTAAATTTCACATTAGACCGTCAACGTACTTTTTAAACACTTTGTATTTATGGCATAGGTATATTTCACGTTTTTGGAAACTCTACAAGAACAGAATATTAAGAATACCTATAATAAACTTAACATATATACATATGACATTAATAGGATTGTTATTGCATTACTATTATTAAATTAATAATTATAAGATGATTATTGTTTTAGTAATAATATAATAATAATAATAATTGATAATTTCAGTTGTGTAGTTTTATATTATTGTTTATTTGTGTTGTTTAATTATACAATTGTATACATAATAATGAATACCTATAAACGTCAAAAAAATATAGGCAAAAAATTTATTTTTTGTATTGATGTTTTAGTTTATCATTTAGTCAATTGAGAGATATGTATTGTAAGTATTAAATATTTAATGAA